AAATCACAAACAGGCTGCTCCAGTTTTTGGGACTTTTTCTCCATTACAGTATGTTTTTTGGAGTAATGCTTGGGTGGATTGTCTTCACTGGAGTCAAAACAATGTCCAGCTGCAGCCACTGGGAACAACATGGAAAGGTAGGGAGCGACTGTTATGTTGTGTGTGCTGTACTGCTGAAAAATGAAAAACGGCTGTTGTAGTGACAAGTGTATGCCTCGTATAGCTGAAACCATGAGGCTTGGAGTTTTCTAGTGGCATATAGCATGGCCTAGTTGTGTTTAGAAGAAGTTCACTACAGACAAAAATACAGTGGCTGAGCTCCTACTGTTTTGTCCCACAGGTGGGGCAGTGATGAATCTACAAGTACAGTATTCCCTCCCCTTTTAGCTACTTTATAATTTTGCTTAAAACAATATTAACAGATTTTTTTAAGCTACATGGTGCAGTGCAACAAGCTGTAAACACAAACCTAACAGATTTTATGTGACTAAGGCATTTGTGAATAGTTGTTAGTTGTTTATCCAGTAAATATGACGCAAGATTACAATTAATTTGGATTCATATCTGTGTCTACCTACCAGATGAAGTCCAGTATAATTTTTCTGTCTGCTGTTGGTGCATCCAGTGAATTTATCATTATTTGTTTTACATGATAAAACAGCTGAAGACGACATTGATGAGAACAGTTAAGTTGCTGGACATAACACTAAAATAGTTACAGTAATTTAAAGGTGCTAAAATGGTACATAGAGTTGAGGAGAACCACACTGTTATAATTGTCTGTAGGTTTGTCATTACAAGCAACATCTTTGCATTATGCATAGTTATTAGGTCCATATAAAAAGAATGATTAGCGCAACTTGAATTTACTAAGTTACGCTTTTTTTAACCTTTTTATTAAACAAATGTTAAAGTATAACTTTCCAAAAACAACAATAAAACAAAAAAAAATTATTCAGTTTATTCATCATTTATGATGAGTAGGTTAAGAAGAAATAAAAAGTAAATGTCCAGGCATTGTATCCATCATCATTTTATACAGAACTTCTTCACAAGACTTCACAAGATTTTCTGAGGTAGTGGTAAACTTTGACATTTAGAAAAAAGGAATTGGGGCGGGGAAGTGTGTGTGTGTGTGGGGGCTATGTGGTTCAGGTTCAGATTCAGGAAGTGAAAATTTAGATGGCTGCTGGTTTGTGCATGTGTGTGCAGAGGACACTCAGGGGATTGTGTGTGTGTGTGTGTGTGCGGTCTGATTGGTGCTGACAGGGAAATATGAAGTTCAGGGATGTGGGGTTATTGGGGTAGATGAGTGAGACAAAGGGGAAGAGGAAAACAATGAGGAAATCAAGCAGGATATATTTCTCACGTCTACACTTTTTCCATTTGATAACTTGAACGTGTGGATCCAATTAAAAACACTGTGCTCGCTGCAGTGAAGTGCTGAGGAGAAACCGCTGTCATCCATCCATAAAAACTACTTATAAACAAGTGTGGGAGTGCTGAAACCCACTGCTAGAAATACATGCTGTTTGTATTGTAGCACAGAATATTACAGAAGGCAACAGCAGCTGCAGCATATGGTAGAATGGAAGGAATTTCATTTCCAAAAACAACTTTAAAATAAAATAAAGAAATGACAGTCTTACAGTGTGACTGAGGAACAATCAGAACAAAAACAGGAGCTTAACAAAATGTTGGCACTTTTAGAAACCAATCACTGAGTGATTTGAAAAGGATATATAGCTTGTATTTTAACATTTTAAACTCTTAAAGGTCAGTGTCACACCATTTCCCATTTCCCACTCCAAGTCAGAAAACAAAGAACCAGAACTATTTGGGTATTTTATGAGATTTTTGGGTGTGGTACAACTTGGAACTGCTCCAATGAAAATTTTAGAAAAATAAAGTTTGGAAATTGTATCGAGAATTCAGCATTTTGATTTATATATCCAACTGCAAACCTTACAGATGTTAACTGAAATTGAAGACTTGGTTAAAACCCATCCATCCATCCATTCATTTTCCTCCGCTTATCCGGGACCGGGTCGCGGGGGCAGCAGTCTAAGCAAAGATGCCCAGACTTCCCTCTCTCCAGACACTTCCTCCAGCTCCTCCGGGGGAATGCCGAGGCGTTCCCAGGCCAGCTGAGAGACATAGTCCCTCCAGCGTGTCCTGGGTCTTCCCCG